TGCAAGGCAAGAGCCCTACCTTCTGTACTATCTCTCCAGCCCTGAGAGCACTGAATTACTACCCAGATAAATGTTTCAATGTTCATATTTAAATAAATACAAATACTAATGTATAATTTTTTTTGCTATCATGCATTTTTAATGTAGAAATGGATGGCTTTGGTCTATTAGAGATAACTTTAATTGCAAAACCAGATGTATTTTCCTAGCGTTCAACACACAAGGTATTAACTACAGAAAGAGTATGGTCTATTCGAACAGTGAAAACTTGGCTACAGAATTCATGGGAACTGGCTAGGATATATTAAATTAAATTAATTAAAGGCCCTCCCGTTGATCGTCGATTTGCTCGAGCGGGCCCAGTAACGTCTCCATTGGAGACTTTGTTGTTACTGTGTCTGGCATATCGAATACTCTCGGTAGCTTGCCGGGCTCTCCGAGAGGGGCGGAGGAATCGAACTCGGGTCGGCCATGTTGGCCGCGTGTAAGGCGAACGCCCTACCCGCTGTGCTATCGGATATATTAAGAGACTGCCATAATACAATCCATGAAGATACAGGGTCATAACTGGCTGCTGAACAGAGCATCACGAGGACTGAAGGGATTTGACCGTGGAGGAAGAGAATCACAGTACCTTCCTTTCAGGTGGATGCTGTTGTATTGTTACTATTATTTTATCATGGGTTTGGAATGAATAAGTGTTACCAATAATTTCTAAAAGTAAAAAAAATATAAATTATATTTAAAACATAGGTTATTTTGACTAGGAAGTTAGTGCCTACTGATTTAAAATGATATTATTACTATGTTGTACTGGCAACAAAATTTAAAACTTTAAAAACTAAAAAATAAACAAACCAAAAAATACTTGTGTGAGCCACCAGAGAGATAGCTCAGTGAGCTGGATTTCCTGAATGGCCTGCAGGAAGCTGGGTTCATCCCCACCTAAGCACACAGCTAGGAACAAGTGGCCAAGCAATGCCAGCATGTCCCCAAAGCCAGGAATAAGGAAGAAAATTTTTTAAATTGTGGGTACAACAGAATATTCTTCTTTGGGGAACAAAATGGAAGCCTTTAGACCAAGGAACACACCTGATAGGTTTGATTAAGCTCTCATAATGCTGGTTCTTTTTCTTTTTAATGGAATTTTGTTGTTAACACGAAATTGAATTGAAATGTTAACTTTTCATTAAATCATGACAACCTTACCTACCCGGCTCCTGTAGAATTTCCACTGGAGCGGTGTGGAATCTACGAGTCCCTTCCAGAAGAAAATGGAATATTTTTTAAATTATATTTGCCTTGATACCCACCCCATAGATTATGTCTGCATTGTTACCAACATCCTGAGTGACACAGAAATCACTATTAACTGTAAATTAAGGGATTACATTTCAAGTATAATAAAAATACTTGAAGTCTCACAGGATTAAATCTTCAAGAAAGGTGTGATCATTAAGTCTGAAGGTTGATAGAATTTTGGAGATTACAGAGAGATGAGACCTGCCCCCACAAATATGTCAAATACTGCATTGCAAAAGCAAAACCCAATTCCATCTTTCAGAGTGGAGTTTCTAAATCATTAGTTTGTATTAAAATTTGGCAGGGAGCCGGAGTAGAGCAGCTTGTCTTGCATGTGACTGACTTCAGTTTGATCCCTGCCTCCCATTTGGTCCCCCAAGGCTGCCAGGAATGATTCCTCAGTACAGAACCAGGAGTAATCCTAATCATAGCAGGGTGTCACCCTCCAAAATTGGCAGAGAGCTAAATTTAATTTACAAGAGCAATAATGAGAAGCACTGAAGAAAAACAGTACAGTTTGGTTAGTAGCAAGATTATCTACCAACACTGACAAATACAACGGTTTCCAGAGGGGCCAGGGGAAGGCATGGGAAGAACAGAGAGGGCAATAATGGCACAGGGACTCTGGTGGAAGTTGCACTGAGGCTTATACGCTAGAGAGGAGTCGGGCTGGAGTGACAGTACAGTAGGGAAGGCACTTGCCTTGCATATAGCTGATCCAGGTTCAATGCCTGGCATCTCATAAGCTCCTCTGAGCACTGCCAGGAGTGATTCCTGAGTTCAGAACCCAGAGTAAGCCCTGGGCTATATTGATTGTGGCCCAATTACACATAACCATCCAATCAAACAAAAAAGATTCACTAAAGAGTAGTAAAGCTGTATTTCTGAAAATGTTGAGGTTTCTTGTTTGGCCATACCCAGCAGTGCTGATGGGGTTCTTCTGGACCCTGTGCTCAGGGATTGCTCTCTGGGGTACTCAGGGAAACCTGAACCTCTGGCATGCACTCAGCCCCTTTATTTATTTCCCAACACCCTGAAATGTTTCTCGATAGGGACTCTTCTCCTGGTGCAGCCTGGAAGCCCAGGGTCACTCCTGGACAGTTCTAAGGACTCCTTGGTGCCAGGGATTAAACTCAGTGTCTCACTCATGCCAGGCATGTACTTTCTACCACTTGAGCCATCTTCCCGGTCCTGGAGCTTTATAATATTGTAAATCAATAAATCCAGGGAAGGAAATAAAAATTTTATATATTTCCAAAGAAAAAGATAACTAAGATCAGTTTATAGTAAAATACTTAGATTACAAGCTATTATAAATTATAAAGCACATCTATAGTGCAAAAATCACAAAGCTTAAACACTTTTAAATGCTCTGCAAGACTGAGTACATATGCCTTCTTTCTCCTGAATATGTAGCAAGGAACATCTGGTGGGTATGAGTGAGAGCAGAGGGGAACTGAAAGACCTGATTATGCCAGCCTACAAGAAGGATTATCCACAGGCACATGTGGAGTATGTGCTCCTGAGAGTTATGCTTGTCAGGAGGTAAGAGGTATCTGTGTAAAACATTAGCACTAAAATGATGAGTTTTAGAGGTGGCACAGGTAGGATGCCACACGTACAGTACTTGTCAGTAAAGTGACAGTTGAAAAATTGTACCAAAACACAAAACAAACAAACAAACACTGTCCTCCCGCTGTTCATCAATTTTGCTCATCCGGGCCCAGTAGCATCTCCATTTTGAGACTTCTTGTTACTGGGTTTGGCATATTGAATACGTCACGGGTAGCTTGCCAGGCTTCGCCGTGTGGGCGAGATACTCCTGGTAGCTTGCGGGGCTCTCCGAGAGGGGCGGAGGAATCGAATCCGCCTGGACTGGGCTGACTGCACGCAAGGCAAACACCCTACCGCTGTGCTATCGCTCCAGCTCGTACCAAAAAATAGATGGAGAAAACTATAAAACTCAGACAGATGCCACTGCTTGGGCCCAGTTGAGTTGGACACATGGACCAGGTCCAGCAAAAGCCTTAGCAGCATGGAGCCCATCTTTGTGCAGTGACCCACCCTGACAAGATAGGGTGGTCGGCAAACAGTAGGGGTGCTCTGGTACCGGGGGTCTTTAGTTCCTGAACCCGATACCCAAGTTGCTCTATGTTTCTCTGAGCTCTTTATAGACCATCCTTCCTGCAAGGAATGCACCTCCATTGGCCTCCATCTCCAGCTGACTACTTCTTTGTCCTTGAAATAGCAGCTTCAATATTACTCCGCTGGGAACCCAATTTGAACTCCCAGACTATGTAAGTGCCCTTGTTTATCAGACTATATTAATCCCCAAGATCTCCTTCCCCAGTCCTGGAGAAGTGCTGATTACATTGAACTGTGTCCCCTTGCTTACTTGCCCATGTCTTTTCATTGCTCCAGAGCTCCAGGAGCAGCCAGGCACCAGGTCTGCCTCACTCACACCTGTAATCAGAAGATGTTGGTTGGATGGTGGAAATGAACTACAGCCCAACTTTCTGTAGATGGCTCCCTGACTCCCTCATGGCTCTCAGCTGGCCTCAGCTGTGGCACTACCTTGTGTTTGTAGGCAGAGCCTAGGAGATTGACAGCAATGGCTTTGATGCATAATGGTTTTCCAGGAAGCAAAAATTTGGGAAGAAAGTGAACCAGAGGCTTGGTATGCAGATCGGAACTTTTCAAACACTGGTCTGCAAACAATGACATAGAAAAGGATATATAGAGATATATATGTGTATATGTGTATGTGGATAGCAAGAAGGAAGTAGAATATATCTCTTTAAGATAGGCAAGGAGGTGATAACATCTTAGATGAGAAATTGAGACTCCAAGTCCAGAGATCAGAGAATCTGAAAGGATGAAGAGAATTCTTGAAGGAGAGAACTCCCAAATGGAGCCATAGAATTATGAGAGTCCCTGTAGGATGGACATGGAGCATGAAGTCTGAAAGAGTGTACAGAATTACTAGGGAGCAATAAACGTCTGGATTCCATTCTCCCCCTGATCTGGGGCGGCTTATTTCACCTGAAAAACCATAACTGATGTTGGGAAAAGGCAGGGAGAAAGATTTATCTGAGGCAAAGAATCAATAGACATCAGGGGAGGACTAGAAGCAGATATTCTGGAACAATATGAGATCAAGATAAATTCACCAATAACTAACAGCAGAAGGTAACATTGCTTTTCCGGCACGGAAGCTAACCAGAACACATCTGGTTTTCAGCATAGAGAAAAATTCCTTAATGTGGTTTACAAAGCCTGTCTTACCGTCTTACCAGGCTCTTCTTGATCATGAGTAAATACACAACTGAGATGAAGGAATGAATGGTCCCAATCCAGTATGGAGTGGGTTCTCTAGAACCACTGGAAAAGGAGACTACATCTAGCTTGGATCTTCAAACCACCTGCAAAAACAGTAATGTCCCCTCTCCGAGGACAAGGCAGCAAGAGTTCCCTGGCTCTGTTTCCACAGTGTTTGCTTAGGCCCTTTTGGATGGTGTTGGGTCTGAAGGCCCCAGGACCCAACCCCACCTCCATCTAAGGGTGGGAACTCCTAGGACTGAACAACCCCACTATTCCCCTGCTGCAATAGGGTTCAAGTTATAAAGCAGGGCGTGGCCTGACTCCAAGAGTGAGCCCTCCATGGGTGACCCCTGAGCTTCTTCGAACAGGTAAGTTACCTCCTCGGCCCTCACTGGCAGCCGGCTTCACCTGGATCGGACGATTCATCTGAAAGACATCAGATCAACACACCCCATCAGTATTACTGCCTGGCCCCTGGTCCCTGGCGTCTCCACCCCTGGGCTTCTAAGGATCTAAGTACTAGGCCTCTGCACGCCACCACTCACATATTGGGAAAGGGATTATAGATTATCACCAAAATGCCTTCCTTAAACCCAGACATTGAGATGGTGCTGAAAAGGTTTGGTAATAGAAGCTTAGTGGCAAAGACAGGGTGGAATGTGGCAGTAAAAGTGCTTCCCCTCCCTGGGGTCCCGGGTGGAGACTGTGGAAAGCCCAGCTCGGCTAGCCGCTGGATTCAGAAGCTCTGGGTGAGAAAAAATGGGTGGGAGGGTGGTGCCGATATTTTGTTTTTCTCTAAAACTGAGAATATAATTCTACGTGTCATTTAGACGAAACCATCTGGGCATCTTACAGGGCTGAAAACCCTCCACTCCGCCATTGAACGTCGCGACTGTAAGCAAGTTACCCTCTCTGAGAGTCAGCCAGTCGGGTGGGTGCTGCTGCCCCCAGCTCCCGCGTCACCAATATTTCCACACTCGCTCCCTCATGCAGTGCCCAGGCCCGCCTTCCCCTGTGATGCCGGAACCTCTCGGGCACCATTCTTGTCTCACACACCCTGCTCTTCCCTTCCTAGGGAGTGCCACCCCCACCTCAGCCTCCGCCACCGTCTCCCCATGGATGACTCAGAGTTCTGCGTCTCCAGCCCACACCTCCCTCCTGAGCTTCAGACCCAAAGGCCCAGCTGCTTGCTGGACAGGCCATCTCGGACGTTCCACTGGCCCCTTCCACTCGGCACCCACAAACCAGAGCTCATCTCCATGCCCGAACTTGATTCTGCCACTCCCCCAAGCCCTAAACCTGACAAGCAGCTTGACACCACCCCTTCCCACCCAGACCAATTTCCCCTTCTAATTCAGGGGTTACCTGAGCGGGGCGGATAAGAATCACCTGGTAACGTAGCAGACTCTCAACGTGGGGCGTCATATCATTTGTACAAAGCTCCTCGGTGATCCCCATATACACGCCACACACTCCCAGCCCCCAACCGCCCTGAGAGAATTCATGATTGAATCCCCATCTCACCTTCCTCTCATGGGTGTTGTGGGGATCACATGAGAGAATGGGAACGCAAAAGGTCTTTGTAAACTGCCAGGAGCTTGGTGCGTAGGATGTGAGGAATTATTGTTGGGGGGCAGACAGCTGAGTGCCGGGAGAAAAGAACAGCGGCCTTCCGTTCATGGAGGAAGGGGTACTGATGCCCATCTGGCCTGAGAAGGTGGTGATCTGACCCCCTCCCCTCAGGAAATGCACTGCTTCTGCACCAATCAGGGGCCACTCCATCCCCTACCAAAGTGCTGGTTGCCGAGACAACAAGCAGCTTCCTGTTACCATAGCCACAAGTGCTACCCGGTAACCATGGCAACGCCCTGGCAGTCACAGTTGAGCAATTTCCTTTGGATCAAATTTGGGGGTGGGGGAGTAGGGAGGGCTTATTAAAAAAAAAAAGAAAAGAAAAGAAAAGAAAAGAAAGAAGGCAGAAAAGGAAAACAGGCCAAACTTGAACCAGCCGAATTCCCCTCCCAACCAGCTCTCGGGGTCCTATCCGCTCTGACACACCCACCCGCTGGCGGTGGAGCATCCGCAGTGTACCAGGCAGTGGGTGGGGGCTGAGACACCGACAGGACTCAGGCTGCAGTCTAGAGGGGATGACAGATCAATCCAAGCAGATCAGGGCGAGCTGGACAGGTCTGGACTGGCCTGGACCAGGGACCAGGAGAACAGGACCCGTCCCTGGGCATGGCCACCTGTGATTGTGGAGGAGAGACCAAGAGACAGAGCCATGGAGAGCAGAGACATGGGGAGAGTTGAAGAAACAAGGGAAGACAGCGGCGTGGGTGAGAAAGACAGAGAGAAAGATGGGGAGGGAGAGAGAGATGGAGAGAGACAGACAGACAGGCAGACAGATAGACAGACCAAGAAGGGGGTCCAGGAAGAGAGAAGCAGTGGGGCAGATAATGTGAGGAAAAGGAGGGCATGACGGGCCATGAAGAGGATGCAGGCAAGGCAGGGAGGAGTATGGAGGGGGGGAGGGAGGGAGAATGGAAGCCTGGGATGGGGGGGCAGTGAGGGTGAGCAAGACCATCATTATTTTATTAGTTCTTAAATAGATTCCGAGAATTACTCTCCAGAGCCTAGAGTGAAGAGTCCATGTGACAGCAGCGGTTTCCATGGCAGCGGCTGCCCGGCTGGGTTTCCGGGGAGATGGATCTCGTCGGTGCTCTGGAAGACGCCCCTTTCTCTCTCTCCTCCACACTCCACCTCTCCCTGACAGAGAGCGGGTATGAGGCGGCATGGACCTGCCCCCCACAGGGATTGGGCAGAGGGTATGCCGTGGCGGCTGGCATCCAGGCTTCTCACCACCCAGGCTTGCTGCCAGTATTCTCTGAACTTATGAACTCCCCGGTCTGGCTCGTTCAGAGAACATGGCGATGGCTCTGGGGACCCTCCCTGTCCTCAAAAGTTCAAAATGAAGGAAATAAGACCAACTTTTCCTGAAAGCCCTCTAGGCACCAGGCCCTTCCTGGGACATTTCACATACGTTGTCTCTCAATTCCTCCCAACCACATTGCAAGGTGATGCCATGGCCCCATAACAGAGATGCGAAAGCTGAGGTAGAGAAAGGCTGTCACTTGTTCCAGATCACATGGCAGGTACATGGTTGAGCTGGGGTTTGCCCCAGATTTGTCTGAATCAAAATCCATGAACTTTGTAATGTGCTTCTCAAGACACTTTTTGTAAGGAAAAGGAGCACTTGGGCCACACACAGTGGTACTCAGGGTCCATGTGGTGACGGGGACCAAACCCAGACCTCTAGCATGTAAAGCATGTGCTTTGTCCTGTGAGCTATCTCCCTGGCTTGGATTCGTTCTTCTTTTTTTTTTTTTTTTTTTGCTTTTTGGGTCACACCTGGCGATGCACAGGGGTTACTCCTGGCTCTGCACTCAGGAATTACTCCTGGCGGTGCTCAGGGGACCATATGAGACGCTGGGATTCGAACCCGGGTCAGCCGCATGCAAGGCAAACATCCTACCTGCTGTGCTATCATTCCAACCCCCTTGGACTCGTTCTTAATACATGAAAACAAGTGACATAGCACAGAAGGTCCTGGGTCCTGGGAGGTGTGTGAGGTGAGGTGCTGTGGCTGAGGCTGCTCCTGACCTACGCCTTGCAGAACTGGGACCACTGGACCGCTGGCAATAATGGAAGAAGCCGGGTTGGAGTCTGAGCACTTTGGACTGCTAGGGGAGAGGGAGGAGGCTACCCCTCCGGAGCAGCAAGAGTTCCAGTAGCCGTCCAAAATCTTAGCCAGGGTATAGTCAGACAGACGTGGATTATAACCCAAGTGCTATCTCTGGCAGCCTTTCCAAGGTCTCTGAGACTCAGTATCACATTAGTAAAGGGAAATGTGGTCCTGCCTTGCAGAGTTGTGTTAAAAACGACAGTGGCTCAGTAGGTTGCTCAGATATAATAAGTGTTGTTTTGTTTTGTTTTTATTTAAAGATGTGAAATGGTAAAATCGGCAGGGGTCAGACTGGGCAGGTTGTGCAAACCACAACAAGGAATTTTGACTCTGCTGTATTTTGAAGGCAATAGGGATCCAGGGAAAGATTAGAAGCAAAGAAATGATCTAGTACAATTTATCTTATGAAGGATCTTATTAACCATCCTTGAGCTGAGAAAGAATTAGAAAGGGAAGAAACAGGAACATCCGTGACACAGGTAAGGTGTGTGGGGGGCCAGGAGGTATCCTGGGCCTGGGCAGAAGGAATGGAAAGATTCAAGAGAGACTTAGAAAAATGAAGGATCTAATGTTTTCTTGGCTTGGGAGCCTGGGGGTGGGTCAGGGGGACGATGGCTCTCAGATTCTTGTCTTAGGTATCAAGGAAGCTGGCAGTTTGGGAGTTTGAAGGGTTACAGGGAGTTGGGAGGGGAAATACTAAAGACGATGAGAACAAAATTGAGAAGACTGGTGTGCCCCGGGGCCCAGGATTGCAGGCCTCTCTGGGAAATGTGGACACCCAGGATTTAGCTTTGCTCTGTGTGGTGGGGGGGGAAGGGGGAGAGAGAAAGAGCATCTGGGAACCTGATAGACAACTACTCTGCCTCACTCCTGACTCGGGAGGAGAGGGCTGTGAGCAAGGGTGAGAAGTCATGGCTCTTTGCTGAGGAAAAGAGGGTTTTACCTCCTTAACCAAGAACTTCCCACAAGACCTGGCCTCAGCTGAGCACCTGCTCTGAGAGTCTCCCAGGTAGACTCCAGGCTGGTGTCTGCTTCAGGACCCAGCTCTGCAGGGGAAGGCAAGGAAGCAGATAGGACCTAGTCCAGTGGTTGGTCAGAGGCAGCCCAGATGCACAGGCCTAAGAACTGCCCCATGAACAGAAGGTGAGGGAAGACCCTCACTCAGCTTAACTTGATGAAATTCCTGCCTGTGGCCTCAAACATCTCCATTCCAGGGGCGACCACTGCCTCCACTCAGCACACGAGCCCTCAGCTCCTTCCCCTCCATATGAGAGGCTTTATCAGAACCATCCCAAAAATGCACCAACTGTTGGTTCTGAGAGGGGAGTCGCGGCTACTTGAAGACAGGATAAGGACAAAGGTTGGGTTTGTATCATTTTCAGTGCTTTGCTCATCACCTCCTCTAAGTCAATTCCCTACCAAGGTCCACTGATTCTAGAATCTCTATAAATATCTGAACTAGCTCTTGGGCCCTCCTCCCCTCTCCATTCCTGCTCTATCCCCAGCTCCACGTCAGCACCATCATCGTTTGCCTGCATACAAGCAACAGTGTCTTAAAGGGACATCCTACTTCCTGTGTTACCTCTCCCTCCCACATTGTAGCCAGAGCAATGTTTTATATATATATTATTTTATTATTTTACGGTCACACTCCGATATTCTCTGTTCTTACTCCTGGCTCTGTGCTCAGGGATCACTTCTGATGGGATTCGGGGGCCATATGTGATGCTGGAATCTTTTAAAATAGCTCCCTCACTCACCCTCACTCTTCAGATCCACACATGGTTCTCCACTGTGAGCCTTCCAGTAAGATTCTAAGGTGGCAGTCAAAACTTGTGGGTCCCTATCCTGGTCTGCAGAATACTCCATATTCACATGGGAGTCTTCCTTAGCCCTTCTGCTAGACACCTTCTCTCCAAGCTCTCACACTGCCTCCAGAATTTCAAAGTGGCCTTTGTCTCTTAGGTTTCTAGACTAGCAAACGTGGTCATGATTTAGCTTTGGTCGCTTCTCCTCCATCCCCACTTTTGATGCTGCTTGTGTGAGCCCAGCTGCAAGCCACACTGGGATGCAATGAAGCGTCTAAGGTTCGGCATCTTCTTGAGGACAAGGCTCTGTCTCATTCCCTGGATAGTTGCTAATATATACAGAGCCTCTGTATGAGTTGCAAAGGGGCCACCCCAGTCCTGGGAATAATTACAAAAGTGTGACTCCTCTTCAGGGTTAATAATGTGAGAACGACTTGGTCAAGGGGTCAGTGCCAGACTTTAACTCCCTTTGCCTTTTCTACTGAGGCCGTTTTGTGAAGGGGGACAATATGCAGAAGCAAGTATGTTCAGTCTCCTTCACAGCATTGGAAGGGGTAAGTGCCTGGGGGAATGGAGGGCATGATCAGGGTGAGGGACAAGGAGGCACCTTCTAAGTAACAGCAAGTGGGGTCAGAGTTGGGCTTTGCCCTCTTGTTCATGTAGATTTATGCAACTAACATGAAGATGATGGAACTAGTTCCAGTTTCATGGGGGAAGAGGCTGCAAAGATGGTACAGCTCACTGAGGTTTGGAAGAAGCTCCGAATAAGAAGCCAAACTCTGAGAGGTGGCAGAAATGAGCGGGGGGCAGGTGTGTGGGCATGAAGGGAGAGGCCTCAGTCTAGCAAACGTTATGACATTTCTCCCAGGCATCTAGACTTTCTGTTTGGTGGTTATCAAACTTTCCTGATCCTACAGTGCCAGGCCTGCCTTGTCCCAGACGGGGCCTTAGCTCTGCTTCCCCAGCAGGTGGCGGCTGTGGGCAGGACCCAGCGCCTTTAGAGTAGGGCACCGCCTCCCTGCGTGCTGGTGGGCCTGAGGCCAGGTGACTAAAACTGCTGCTGCCCCTGGCAGACCCAGAGGAAAGATTGATGGCACGGACACTGCTGGGGCTGGCCAACAGAGCCATCGATTTTCATTTAAGAGAATAATTAAATATTAATTTTCACTTTGTTAAGCTGGGAAGGGTGAATAAGGCCAATGCTGGCAGTTCTAGAGACCAGGCTGTTAGAGGACTATGGATAAAGGCACGGGGCGTGGAAGCTGGGGTGGGAAGAAGAAGATGCACCCAGGTCAACACCTCCGTTATAACCTTCAGCTCCCATCTGCCACCAGATTGGCTCAGGTGGCAGTTCAGTGAGACCATCCGGGTGACCTTAGGCAAGTCACTTGGCCTCTATGACAGTTTCCTCACCTGTAAAACACAAATGCTGATAGCAATATCTTCACAGGAGAGCAAATGTCTGTGAACATGCAGCCCTAGGAACACTGTCTTGTATCAATAAATGTTTTTATTTTTATTTTCTCCCCAGGGATCCTCTTCCTCCAAAAATTCACTCTGCAACCCTTCTTTCAGATTCTTCCATCTCTTGAGTCCCTGAGACAGCCATGATCTTGCAGAGTTTTGTGGCTGGTTGAATGGGGTTTTGCCTTCCCAAAGCTCATCTTCCTTTTTTTTCCCATTCTTCCATTTGCTTTCAGGATAAAGTCCAATCCCTTAAACCTGACATTAGTTTTCCTATTCCACAATTCTTTGTGAATTCTTTTTCTTTTACTCTGGCATGGCTCACAGTCACTATCACACCCACCCCAACACACACACACACACACAATCCTAATTCTTTTTCACACCCATCCTGTTCCTTCTGGCTCTGTACCTTTACCATGCTGTTTCCCACATGCAATGTTACAGCTTGTCTCACTGAATCTCAATTCTAGCAGCAGAAGCCATTTACTCGTATGGTTGGATGAATAATGACTCCTACTACTGCTCTTACTAATAGTCTGTTGCTCTTACTACCACCATCACCACCACAAATATATACTGAGTACTTACTATCTGCCAGTAGCTAGACATGATGGATTATTTAATCATTATAATAACTCAATGAGTTCAATTTTACAGATGAGGAAGCTTAGATTTAAAGAGGTGAGATGGGCCAAGGTGACGGAGTTAGTGTGTCAAAGGACCTGGGTCCACACTCAGGTCTGTGCAACTCCAAAACTGGAATATTGCTGATGGTGTTGATTGGAGCTAAGTCTTTACAAGTGAGATTCATTGACTAGAATGGGTTCTAGGACCTGTATTCACTAACAGCTTGATTAGTTTTAGCAATGCTTGTTCCATGTGCTGGGCTGTTTCAGATTACAGAAATTACTTCTTTATACTCTGCTGAAAGTAGTGTATCTATTCTTTATACCCAAATCATAACTCTGCCCTTTCATGTTACCCATAGGAAATGATATTCCCCTTTGTAATCGGAAAGTCACCAGCAGTAATATTTATCAAGATCAAATTCTCTGTCAAGCACTTGCTAAACCTCAATTAATCCTCACAATAACGCAGTGAGCTAAGTACTGGTACATCACATAGGAGCTGGAAGATAATATAGTGGGCAGGGTGTTTACCTTGCACAAATCCAATCCAGGTTAGATTCCTGGCACCCCATATGGCCCTCTGAGCATGGCTAGGAGTGATCTCTAAGCACAGAGCAAGGAGTAAGTCCTGAGCACTGCTGTGTATTGCCCAAAAACAAACAAACAAATAACAAACAACCCTACATTTTATAGATGAGAAAATTAAAACTTAAGAGTCTGAGTAATATTTCATAGAACTGGTAAATGACAGTTCTGGGATTCAAATGCGGGTCTGTCAGAGTGGAAAACTACTATTCTCAAATACATTACGATGATTCTTTAACAAAATCTCACTAAACCACAACTTCTCCAAATGAATACCCCATTCCCTCAAACTGTCATCCCGTGACCTGTTGATGCCCCATCCTATGCTGGTCTCTCACTGGTAGGCTCATGAAACCTCCCAAATCTGAGAAGTCCAAGAGTTGGATGGAGTGCTAGATAGGTGTGTCCAAGGCATCCGGTTAGTGCCTTTGCTTTGTGGACAAGAGAACAGAGGCTATGTAGCAAACTGCTCTTAATACAACCATGCTGGTTCCTAACAATCGTCATTTTCCTCTTGCCCTATGATGAGTGTGCCCCTGCCTGGCCTTCTGACATTAGCCCTTGGCCAAGAACATATATCAGGTGCCACTGACACCCAACAGCTGGCTGTCTATAGAGTCAATGCTCTGCTAACTTTCATCAGTGTGTGCACTGTCAAGGAATGCCGTCTTGGTGGGCCAATAACACATGACAGAAAGGGGACAAGTGGGACGTGCTATCAAAGACCCTAAGGCTGGAGAAAATGGGATTGGTAACTCACTAGCACCTCTACTCTGGGATCTGCATCCATGCTAATACCAGAGACAAATGATACCCGCAGTCAGGATTTCAGCTCTAGCTTAGATGTCCTAGACACTTCTCCTGAAGAAGGAGCAGAACATTTAGAACATTGAGCCCAAAGCTCAAGTCCATTCCTTTGAGCAAAATAAATTGAATAAACCAAAGCACCTGTCTCTGTTCAGGGCACAGGTAAGCCCCCTCTAGGAAAAAAAAAAAAGACTCTGCTTCTAGTTCCAGGTCTCAATCCAGGTCCTACATGTTGCTTTAGCATGCACAGAGGGTGTGTTCCCAGTCTGAGGTGAGTCCCACCCCCCAACCCTGGTGGACTTACCCCTGGTAGGGTCTTCTGCTCGTGCAGTGCACTCTGGGCCTTGAGAGCAGAGTCCCGGGCGCAGTAGGTGAGGAAGGCACAGCCTGGGGAGGAAGAGGCTGGCTCAGGGGGGTTTCTGAGACCCCCATATATTCTGGAATTAACTCCATTAAGCAGACAGACTTAAACAAGGGTACTGCTTCTGAGATGTCTTCTCTGCCTCCCATCTTCACCAAAGGGAGGAACTTTATGTGTCTCAAACCCGGATTGCCTCATTTGCTGCTGGACTCTTGGCTAGGGGACATGTGTTCCCAACCCAGTCACATGCTCATATGATCCCACTTCTCCCCGCCCCACTCCAGCCATAAGCCCTGCTGGGGTTAAGCCTCCCTAAGCAGCTTTGCCTTCAGCTTTAACTCCAGTCTCCCCCTTGTTTTTGGGATTCATACAGAGTATCCCAGAATTCAATTCAATTCCTTTCTGGCTCAGGAGGGAGGAGACAAAGGGGAAGGAGGGGGACTGGGAGCCAATCCCAGGATTCCGTGACTCCTAACACCTGCTCCTCTCTGTCAAGTTTGAAATGGAGGAACAGCTTCATTAGAGGCTGGGACTGATTTAAGGACTTTTCAGGAGTAGGAATTTCCAGGGAATTCCAAACCTGTTCAAGAAGTTTGATCAATTAGCTACCCCAGGACTTTAAGATAGAGCCTCTTCAGGGGTTGCTGTACCCCAAATCTGATTTATCCAAAGGAGAAATAGTAGATGCAGGGATGAGGAGTCTGGGCTGAGTCAAAGGCTCAGTCCTACTTGTCTTTGTTCAGTCCCAGAACCTGTAGCCTGCTAAGAAGCATTGATTTTTTTTTCATTTCCAACAGTCATTGAACACTCACTCATTCAGGAAATATTTATTGAACATCAACTTATTACGAGGGGAGCATGATAGTGGGCTTGGGGATAGAACGGTAATAAGACAGATACATCCCTTATCCTCACAGGGATAATGAGAGGCAAATAACTGAGGGTGAAGAAGTTAAGTAATATCTTAAAGAAGTCAAAGTGTCTTCAAGGAAAAACAACAGGTTATCCAGGTGGTAAGAAGACTGGTGATTATTTGAGGCAGAGGGAATAGTGAACACAGTATAAAGACTGAGGCGAGAACTCTATGTTAAGGAGGTAGATGGATAAAGCTAATATCATTGGAAACTGGTGAATGTTGCTAGAGTAAGTAGTGTAATATGTGCTGAAATTGGCTCATCTTCAACTTGGCAAGTCTGTCTAGGTTTTCAATTTTACCCCTCAGAAGAGAGACACTACAGAGTTACAAGTCTGCGAGGCAATCAGATCTGTGTTTTCTAAGAGGGCTTTCTGAGTGTAGTAAGGAGAAAGAATGGAGGAAGAACGTAGACATGGAAGCCATTAGGAGCTGATGCAGTTTTCCATTTAGAGCTCAGCAACTGGAAAGGCAGATGAGAAAGCATTCTGCATTGTCTTCTCTGGGGCCATCCCTTAAGGTGGTTTGGGATCTTCTACTCCTTAGGGAATTCCTGGGACAAAATCTGATCCATGGCAATAGAAAAACTGCAGTTCAGTGAGGTATTGGTGGCAGGGTAGGGCTTGGAACCTCCTGATTAGAAGGATGATATATATATATTTTGGGTCACACCTGGCGTTGCACAGGGGTTACTCCTTGCTCATGCACTCAGGAATTACTCCTGGTGGTGCTCGGGGTACCATATGGGATGCTGGGAATTGAACCCTGGTCAGCCGCGTGCAAAGCAAACACCCTACCCACTGTGCTATTGCCCCAGTCCCAAAGGCTGATATTTTTTAAAGAATCACGATGACCTCCCTCAATGCCTAGCAATCAAAATAAAATGGGTCACTCTGGCTTTTGGATACCCTTGTCATGGGGTGGGAGGGGAGGAGATACTGACTTGGAGGCCCTGTCCCCACCAATCATCTTGGGAGGCATCCCTGATTTGGAGAGCTGTGGGATAATCAGGAAACACTTGATTCTGCTGTGCATCTCTGCATCCTTTTCTGCCACCAAGTCATATCAGCTGACGTCAGAATCAAGCAGGGCTGAGGCCCTGTCTGAGTCTTCAAGGGTCCAGTCACTGACTAAAGGAACCTGTGGAGAAGTATCTGGAATAAGAAGTGAGAAAATGGAGGAGTGTAAAAACAGAGAAATGTGGTTCAAGGGGCAGGTGAATGAAAAATTAGAGCTAAGTGGAAAGAGAAAGACTGAGAGAACATATCAGAGACTGTGATAGTGTTTCAGTAAGAAAAGTGTGAATTAAAAGTATTTGATACACTTTCTCTATTGTACAGATGAGCCAGAAAGAGGAGCAATTCTTACAGATAGAAATAAATGTCTAGAAAATAAGTTGCTATTAATGGGTGGACAGCCAGTTAGTCACTCAGGCATCTGACTGCGTTAGAAGGAATATGAATAGTGTGGTCTTATCCTGTCAAGTCCCCTTTATCAAAACCCCACCGCAAGGGCAGAAGACGCAGCCCTGTCCAGCTATTCACAGCTCTTCTAGGGACACTTTCCAGTGGGCCCTGTGTTAATGTGCCTAGATGCTCCAAGTTTTCCTGGTTGGAAAGATGTGGAGCCTGTTCCATCATCCAGTCCTTAAGAAAGTACCTAAAATCCTTTATTCAGGGCTCTTGAGTTTTCTCCTGGGGTCCTGGTGAAGAAACAGTTGGTAACCCTGCCCTCCGTTAATCCTGAAACTGCAGCAAGGTGCAGGTGGGGAGGGATGAAGGTGTTTCTCCTCAAATCATTCCCTTCCCCGCCCATGCATGACATGTGACTGTCTGTCTTACTCCAGCCCAGCCTGGATAGACTTTTCTACATGTAAACAAGCCTCCTCCCTCTCGCTACAGAAAGAAAGGGGTGTGGCTGGGCAGGACTGTGGGCCTCAGTCTCAAGCAATGATGGAGAGAAGACCCCTTTGTGCTCCTTCACCCTGACCATCCTGAGGTTCTGGTCCAGAACCCAGTTGTCAGAGGAGAAGCAGGAGGCCATAAGGAGCAAGATCAGGGAGGAGGGAAGGGGAAGCCTAGGAAAGGAGAGATTTCAGAGAACGAAAGGGCTGTGGGTTTCATTGAGGGGGGAGACTAGAGAAGAGGAGTTCAAGGCTGAGGGAGTATCACAGCTGAGCGTAGGGTCCTGGAGGACTCAAAAGAGGCAGAAGGCAGGGCTGGAGTGATAGTACAGTAGGGTGCTTGCTTTGCACACGGCTGACCCAGGTTTGATCGCCGGCAACATATGGTCCCCTGAGCCCACCAGGAGCGATCCCTGAGCACAGAGCCAGGAGAAAGCCCTGAGCACTGCAGGGTGTGGCCCAAAAACAAAAACAAAAAAGGAAGAAAGAAGAAGAAGAAGAGGCAGAAGGTGCTGGGAATTCTAAACTTGAAGGTGGAATTTGGGACTAAGAGCTCCCGGGAGAGGAGTTGGAATTTTTGATTTAGCCAGGCAGGCCTGGGTTCTGAAAAAGGAAGAGTTGGGGTCTGTTGGGGTGTGAGTTAGAGGTCCAGAGTCAAAGGAGGCTCTGGAGACCTAGCGGGCCTGGAGGCCTGAGTCAGGGACTGTCTGTGAGGAGGCCAGAGTGGGGAGGCACTGAAGGGGAGGCTTGGGAAGGACGGGGTCCCAGGCTTGGGAGACTGAGGGTATCAGAAGGTGGAATAAGTTTCCCAGTTCCTGGGTTGTGGGTGTATGGTGGGAGGGGTGGAGAAAGGTTCACAGGGATGGGGCGACGTGAGGGGTGAGAGGCTGGGGGCTGGGAGTGAGAGTGGAGAACGGTCAGGAACCAGGATGATGATGACAAGATGTCAGAGAGAGAATTCCGGGCTGGAGGCTCTGTGCGCCGGGGAGGGGACGGGGCAGAGGTGGGGCAGGCGCGGGACTGGAGCTGGGCTGGCTCTAGGTGGGGCTGGGGCTGGGGCTGGGCCGCACTCCTAAACCGGATTGGGGCTGGGCTGGACTGGGCTGGGCTGACCCCGCGCACCTTTGTGGAGGCCGGTGAGCCGGTCCTTCAGCACCGTCAGCTCGTAGATGCGGCCGAACTCCTCGAACAGCGGCTTGAGGTCCTGCTCGTCCAAGCCCCGCGGGATCTGCCCCACGAAGAGCTTGATGGCGTCGTGGTCCTTCATGGGCACGGCGGGACCCGGGTTGAGCCCGCCCATGCCGACGCCGCTGTCCGCGGTGCTGAAACCCAGGCGCGGGCCGGGGCCGGCGGGCGGCGCAGACCCTCCGGGCGCCGCGGCCATGTCCCCGCCAGGCCAGCCCTCGCGCCGGTCCCGCCGGTCCCGCCGGTCCCGCCGTCCCCTCCCTGGACCGGAGGCGGGGGCCAGGGGAGGGGGCGGGCGGCACAGGGGGCGGGGTCCGAGCGCAGGGGCGGGGGAGGTGGGCGGCGGGAGGGGCGGGGCCGGGGGCGGGGCCGGCCGGGCGGGGCCGGCGGGACTCCGGGGTCCGGCGGGAGGTGCCCCCGCGCGCCGCGCTCCGTGGACTCGCGCTGGAGCGCGGCTGGCGCCGAACCCTGCGCCCCAGCCCCCGTGCCCGGTGACGTCAGGCAGCCGGCCGCCGGGTCTACGCACGCGATTTGCATAATGAGGGCGCGGCGGCCAATCAGCGCCGGAGCTGGCCGGGCTCGGCCGGGGGCGGGCGGGGCGGCGGGGCTCACGCGCTCCGGCTCGCCATGGCAACCGGACCCGGGGCTGTCCGGGCCCGGCGCGTGCGCGCGCGCGCGTGCGCGTGTGTGTGTGTGTGCGCGCGCGCGTGTGTGTGTGTGTCTGTGCGTGTGCGCGCGTGTGCGTGTGTGTGCGCGCGCGTGGAGATGTGCGGGCGTGGAGATGTGCGGGCGTGGCCGTGCATCGCGCGTGTGCGCGGGAGGGGAAGGAGCTTCGTCATGCGTGCTGCTGTCTGCGGGCGTCGGAAGCAGCCCCCTCCCCGCTCCCACAGGCACACGCGCTCGTAGTGCCCCGAGCCCCGTCTGCCAGCTGGACGGGGGATTCCTCCGGTCCCCGCCCCCGCCGCGCCCCGGCTCACCTCCCGTGGGTGTCCCCAGCCGCCGCCTTACTCGCCACCTTCAGGCGCACCCCCCAGAACCGCAGCCCGTCCCTCTCCCACCTTTCCTTTCAACGAAAACAGAACAACAACTCCAAACACGGCCGAAAGTTAAGCTGCTTTTTGCTCCGGCTTTGCCCCAGTTTTGTGAGCCTCCTGTCCCGCAAAAGGAAGCTGCGGTCCGAGGACCCAGCGACTGGGACGATTCAGGCCAGCCGTCGCAATTTCTTCTGGGTCCCGAACAGGAGAAAAGAAGGATATAGCCGACCGAGTGGCTAAATAATTCAAAGAAGTCCATCAGGTTCATTAAATAGGATGTTCTCTTGTTTTACAAATAATCATGATAAAATTTTTTTTAAAAAGGGGGAGGAAGGGAGCGGAGTACATAGGGTGGGGCATTTACCTTGCATGTGTCAACCTGGGTTAAATGCTAGACATCTGTATGGTCCCTTGAGCTCTCCACGAGTGATTCCTCCTGAGCAGAGCCAGGAGTAACCCCTGAATACAGTTGGATGTGGCCCAAAAAGGAAGGGAGGGAAGAGGGATGGAGGACGGAGGGAGGGAGGAAGGAAGGAAGGAAGGAAGGAAGGAAGAAAGGAAGGAAGGAAGATGAAAGAGGGGTTTTGTGACTTAAAGGTAGCACAAAAGCAGAGCTGATGAAAGTTTTTAACACTTTCATATTTGAGTATTTGCTTGATGGGGAGGAAGGAGTGATACAATGAAAATAAATAATACATGTTATATATTTTATAATACTTTATTTATTTAATGTTAACCGGTGTGTTACCCCATACCCTCACCCCCCCAAAACACCTAAAAAACAACTGTCATGCATGGCCATAAAATATAACATTATTATAACCATGTTAAACTATACTAAAACTTAAGTACATATTTGCACTGTACTTTATTCATTTTATCATTTTTTTCTATTTCTGAAATTATGTATACTTTGCTTTTGTTTTGACCCACACTCTGCAGTGTTCAGGGATCGATCCTGCCTCTGTGCTCAGGCATCATTCCCAGAGGGGATGGGGGGGCCAAATGCATACCAGAGGTGGAATTAAGGTTACTTACATGTAAGGCAAATGTCTTGCTCACAGTACTATCGCCACAGCTCCTGTTTCTATGTTAGAGAAATTGTTCGTTAGTCCATCCTTTCTCTCTCTTTCTCTCTCTCACTCTCTCTCTTTGCTTCTTTCCCCCATTCTCCCTGTCTCTCCCTTTCTCCATCACTTCTTTTCTCTCTCTTTTTTAAATTTCTTTCTTTATTTCTTTCCTTTTTTCCTTTCTCCTCTCTCTTTTTCAATGATTGAACTCATGGGCCTCAAACATGCAAGGTAAGTGTTCTACTAATGATCTATATCCCAACCTACCCACGATTTTTAATCCTAATCTATTATCTGCTCCAATTGTAGAATATATTTAATATTAATTACTAGGGCTGGAGTGATAGTACAGTGGTTAGGGCACTGTTTTGCATGTGGTCAAACTGGGTTTAGTCCCCAGCACCCGGGATTAGTGGTCTCCTACGCCCCAAACAATAATAATAACAATAATTTCTATGATTTGGGGAAGGAGAAGGAAGCTGGAAATCGTGTTTGGCTTGCCAACTGTTATGGTAGATAAAGTTCTATAGATATGTATTGATTCAGTTACAAGTTGCCTATCTTTGATAGACTGGGCTTTATTTTACCTGCAGCAAATACATGTTAGATTGAGTTCCACAAAGTATACAAAACAGAGAGTCTTTAAGTATCTTACGAACTGCTCATCGTGAGGCCCTTGCGTGTGGCTGGCCTGGGTTTGATCCCCGGCACCCCATATGGTCTCTTTGGATTGATTATTTATATATTTATTGTCTGTTTGTTTATGAACATTTGGAATTTTATTTTAAGAAAACAACATCACAACCATGAACACTGTTACAGTTAGAGGCCCTCCACAGTGACACTGAGCATGCTCACAAAGGATTTCCTTTGTTTATTTAGTCTTAGAAAACCATCTTATAAAAGAAGGCAAAAAACCCCCAGCATACTACCATTTGACTTTTTTTTTTTTCTTTTTGGGTCACACCTGGCAATGCTCAGGGATTACTCCTGGCTCATGCACTCAGGAATCACTCCTGGTGGTGCTCAGGGGACCATATGGGATGCTGGGAATCGAATCCGGGTCGGCCGCTTGCAAGGCAAACGCCCTCCCCGCTGTGCTATTGCTCCAGCCCCCATTTGACTTGTTTTAATGTTTCTTCACAAATGGTGAAAAAATACTAAAGTACAGTGAGGAATAATCATAATGTTGTGACCAACATTATAAATATGGAATTTAAAACTTAAAAAAATTCTGGTTTAAAAAGTAAGTCCATGCAGCGCTTCCTGTTCTATGCATCAAGCGGGACTAGTCTGTCTCTGCATTTCTGATGGTTCTTGCCTTTTTCCACTTTTCCAGTCCTCCACGTCCGCCTCTTCTTCCTTCCATCTGTTCCCTCAGGACCATCTTGTCTGCCTCCACCAAGGTCAACTTAGTCCATGTTCCAGCCACCACAGAAGCTGCCTCTGTCTCCCCCAAGACCACCTCTGAACATTCCTCTAAGACCACTGTGGTCCATGCGGCCACTCTTCCCCACGTGCCTCGAGGGCCACCTCTGCCCCAGTCACCACAAGGGGTGGAAAGGGTGGTGGGAGAAAAAGAAAAGTTTTGGGGCTTCGCACTGGTTGCTTTCTGTTCTCCAGGCAAAGTTCTGGTTCCTACATCCCAGACTGGTTACTGCCAGTCTCCAGCTCTGTGTTGGACCTTTCCTCCTTCTGATGGGTTCCCTCAGGAACCCCAAGGTGCTCTTGGGGGAAGGCTCCCCTGTGTCCTCCTCAGCCTACCATGAGACCCATTGGTCCACCCAGACCTCCTGGCTCCCCTGGACCTCCACAGAGCTGTGTGGCATTCCTCTGCCCTCACCGGGTGGCAAACCACCTCCCATGCTGTTCACTGGAGGCTTCTTTTGGGCAGGAGAAATTTTAAGTTTGCTTCCTTGAGAATCTTCCCCCTCAGACCACTCCACGGTAGCCTTGGCAGTTGACGGGTCTTCAAAGGACGCTGTGGCATCACCTTTGGGTTCTCCTATTTCCTTGTCCAAGTAATATGAATCATGGGTAGTCCAGTTCCTTTGTTCATTTTAATAACTCCACACTGCTTAAAGAAGCCTGCCAGGTCATCTGACTTCATTATCATTTAATCCTTGCATGCAAATTGTACTATTGTCAGAATCTTCATCTGGATCTATACAGGAAGGCCTAGATCTAGTCCTTCTTCTATGGGTCCAGCAGACTTATTGAAGCCACCTTGCTCTCCAGTACTAACCATTCCATCACGCCCACCTCTGCTCATGCCTCCATGATCAAACCCCCCTCTTCCCTGCCCTCCTTATCAGGGCCACTCACGCTCCAGTTCTCTCCTTGTCCGGAAAATCCTCCAGATTTCTGCCCATGGATACCCATGCCAGTGGGGTGGTCCTGTGGGAATGAATTCTACAGCCCGCAGCTGCTGCTCTGTTGGGTATATTGACTCGGAGCCTGGCCATAGCATCCAGTTGGGTGGGGGTAACTGGTAGGTGACTTCCAGTCATGGCTGCTCTGCTGTCCACAGCTGCGTGACTGCCCAAACATGTTTTCCTGTGAATGACTGCTCTGATTATAACTAGTTGTCTGTGCGGAGGAATCGCTGGTAGGTGGATAGGATGGTGGTGCTGTCACTGGCACATGGGCTAGCTCCAGCTACCTGGGGTTAACTGTGGTTACTCCGTCCACATCCTAGGCTGGGCTGGTTGTAACCTCCTTTGCTAAATTGAGGTTAACTAGTCTCAGCGGACTTGTTACCATCCTGTGGTCTTGCAGGTGCAGTGGTTGCCAGTTGCTGCCCATATGCTAGACAAGCACGCTGAGTGCCATATGCAGTCTGAGCTGCATAGGGGGTCTGGGTGGTAGTGACTGTAGCAGTGGTGGCACCATCAGCACCAGTGTTGTACCCCTGACTGTATGGCTGGGGCAGGTGGAATATAACCAGCGGAAGGCTGTCCATGAGAAGTCGCATAGGAGTTCTGTCCATAGGTGGCTGCGGTCTGCACCTGGGTAGAGCTGTCATCGTGGGCTGTCCATAAGTTCCATAACTTTGTTGCCCATATGCCTAGGCTGCAGCTTGGCTGTAGGAACTGCAATCCTTGGATACCATTTTTATTCCTTCCTTCCCATTTCTTTGAGAGTTAGCCAACAAGGTCCCTGCCTTAGCAGTTCAGAGGCATCACCAGTTCTCCAAGTGTTAGTTTTTCAGCTCTCAAGCACAGATGTGTCTACTCAATATACACTTGGAAGCCAGTTACTTCAGGAAAACAATGTTAAGGTATAATTTTTTTTGTTTTGTTTTGTTTTGGGGCCATGCCAGGCCATGGTCATGACTCATACCTGGCTCTGCACTCAGGGCTCAT